CGTCAGTCCACCCAAGAATACTTGCGCCTTCTCCTCTTCGAATATGAGAACGATGTCGTCTGCATATTCCAGATCGACAAGGTTTTCTTCACAGGCTATTTGAATATCAGGGTTTTGGAGACCCTCCAGCGTTCGTCTCATTATTTCATCAATCACAAAGTTAAAAAGAAATGGGGAGAGTGGGCATCTCTGACGGACACCGCTTTGTGTACGGAAGCTTTTGGAGAGCTCTCCGTACACTCTCACACATCCGGAAGTCCGGGGCATTCCTTGATGGGAAAGCGTCTCAAGAATAACAGACCGATCAACCGAGTCGAATGCGCCTCTTAAGTCCAGGAATACTAGAATCATGGGTCGCTTATACGTATGGCGTTGTTCGTACGTGAATGTGCTAAAAATTATTGCAATATCTTTCTACTCAGTGTATCAGTTGTTGCCATTTATACATATGCTGTTGCCGGACACAGTTAACTTCGAAGGTAGTCAGGCCTAAATGTTCTGGTCCAGGAGTTTTGTAATGCTTCAGGTGTTGCTGCCCTCTGAGCGTTCGGTTGTGCATAATTGTAATGAGCGGCTCGAGCAACAAAATCGCGCCAACACATACTTGCCCAGAACCCGCGAGAATGGTCCTACCTGGGCTGTAGCCCTGTACAGTCGTTTTCCACGTAGCTGTTCACCATCTGGTCCGCACAGTGTCGCATTACCAGATGTCTCGGTGACAATAAGGATGTTAAAAGTGCATTCTTAGAGGAAAGATTCTGTTACCAGAACCCAATCTCATAGGTGTCATCCTGTTGGGTGAACCAAATAATCCGAATATAGTAGTCCTACTGAGTTAAACTGATGTAACTTAGCAAGAGTACGCAAACGCCATACATCGAATGTGTTGGAAGCTGCTCGACCGGAAATTCCAGGCATAAAACGTCAGTGGGAACGACTTACAGAAACGCAATAGAGGAGTTGTGATAAAGTCAGTCATCTAGTTTTGGACCTTTCAGATAGACTGAATTCGCTTTTCTGCTTACAACTTGAAGCACATCTCTCTGGATCTCACTGGATCTTAAGGGTCATGTGTACCAGGCTACAGTAAGGGCTGTGTTGTTGTATGGGTGCGAGACATGGCCTCTGCGGGCCTCTGTGAGGCGTTTTCAGGTTTTCGACCACCGATGCCTCAGAAGCGTGGCTGGTTGTGGGTGGCGTCAGCGCATCGGTAACGAGGCGATTAGAAAACGGGTATTTGGTTGTGCTGCAGGCACCTCAATCCGGGAGAACATCCAGCATCATCGACTGCGATGGCTCGGTCATGTGCTAAGCATGCCGAAACACCGTCTACCGAGACGAGTGTTGTTCTCTGTGCCTCCTTCAGGATGGTGCAAACCGCGAGGTGGACAGTACATGACTTGGCAGAAAGGCGTCAATGAGACCGCGACTTCCCCGTGACCCCATCTGTGCTTGGCTGGAGACGTTGCAAGAAATGGCGGCTAATCGATGTCAGTGGCCTTCTTGCTGTCAGTTTCTTTCTAGATTGTCCGATTGAGCGGTTGGAGGTGTAGGCGCCTCAGTATGCTTGACATAGGCCAGCGCTAGGTCCCCTCCCTCACCCACTCTTTTCCTCTTCACTGTAGGGTTTTTAATACAATTATATATATATATATAACTAGGCAAACCTTATGGTTGCACGGCAGTGAAGCATCAGTGGCAACACTGGTGTCGCTGTCTTAGATGATGATGATGATGATGCCAGCACAATGCCATGATCGGAGTCAAGAGGTGTATTCGAAAATGAATGACACTCTTTTACCGAGGCCTTCCAACGATAGGTCATGGCCAGATGATCCAAATGAGCCCACAGTTAGTTTATGGTTAGTGGCCTCCAAGTCAGCCGGTGTGAGGGCCTATGTTGAAGGTTTGTGCTGGCTATAAACAAATGATCTTCATTGCATAAAGTAATGTAGTAACACAATCCAGAAAAATTACTCACGGCAACGCAAAACTAAAGTTATGCAGACAGTCCTCTCTCCGGTAAGCTGTTTTTTAGGAGTACCTTCATTCATTCTACAGAAAGTTCTTGAACTCACCCTTCCTACTTGATGCACAATTGATTTGTCTTTGGCTTCCTACGCAGCATGTCATTGGATTGCGAAATTGCTTGAGCCCATTCGGGAATCGTTGCTTAACCATTCGGCTAAAGGGTCGTTCGACTACAAACCACAGATCGGATTACTTTTTAACGCTTTATCAGTTTACCCAATACAATACAGAGCACAGCGTGGATCGATAAACAATGTAGGATACACTGTAGGTCATTCAGTGGAATACATACATATGAATTAGATAACCCCGGTTTTTGAATCTCACCTAACTGCTCAACTGGTCACTGCCACATGCCTTAGGTGGACTGATACGCGGCAGACCAAAGGCATCCGACAACCCTGAACTAGTGACAGTGTAGGAGTGCGGAAGCCGGAAAGTGCTACTGGTTTTCATTCGATAATGTGGATCTGGATACCAGTACTTACTTTTAGACCAAAAGCATAAAAGGAGATGTGTTTGCGCCAGGACAGGAGGACGACTGTTCAAACTAGATTTATGTGAGTATGTATTCTACAAACTCCCGTAACCACCAAAACCTGAAATAATTATGCACCCACCTGGGTTACTGCTTTGTCGCTGGATATCGGTCCCACGTAGGTACGAGATACCACAGGATAAATTTGACCAAATAAGCAGACTCTATGTGACTGACATTACCACGGCCTTTCCGTGGTTGGTTGTGAGATGATGTTTGAAAATGGTATACCATAGTTTGATTTCTGTTTGATACCCTCAGTCACTATCATCCTCGGTTGTTTCGTGGCAGTCAAATCGGAGTTATGATTCGTCACAGTAATTTCTTGGTACGAGAAACGTGAGCTTCGTGTGTGTAGATGGACCTGGTACTTTCTAATCAGTCGTTTGATTTGAATTCTATTCGGATTCCCCTAGTTCATTTCCCCCGGTTTGCGTTTAGCGAGCCGTCAGGTTAGGAGTAGACGGCCTAAGTCACCGGACATGGAAGGAAGTTGTTTTAGATGTCACCTCGTGCCAAGGCTGAATTTTGTTTGTTTTCGAAAACATACCCAAGTTTGTTGTCCTCGTGGTCCATTGTTGTCGCTACAGCAAACTGGCTCAGTCACGCAAAGTTCTGACGTTTGCATCAACACGGCTGATGTCAAGCAGTGCATGATTAACCCCACACACAGATCCACACGATTGTCACCAATCATGTAAACCACACTGCCCAATCTAAGAAGCAAGTGACAAAAACCGGTAAGATGTTCAACCAAACGTCGTCTTATTTCATCGGAGAATTTGCATGTGTAAAACAAAACAGGTTTCAGAATAGGAACTAATGGGTAACTTGGCAGTCCTCAACATTTTAACCAAAATCAGTCGTTTCAGAGTTTCCGGATCAGCCGCCTGTGCCCCATATTGTTAACTGCAGATCGTGCGTAATTCGTATCGTCAGAACAATTTGACAATCTTTAGGACCATTTCCCTGTTTCTGATTAATCTCTTGTCACCTAGACCAATCAATTCTCGTATCTTCCCGACCGAACCTCCACGCGCCGTAAACTCACATGCTGCGTTGCAGCAAAGAAAGATATGTTTGATTACACATAGACACCAACCTGCGCAATTGTGCCAGTGTCCAGTGTTGTCTGCAAACGTGAAACTGTCGTCTCTCTTCTTAAACACAATCCCAACTTTGGCTATAGAATGTTCTCATGCAACGCTGTTTCAGCATATTTCGGAAAAAAAGCTTATTTCATTTAGTATTCATGAGATTGAACTTGAGTATACAATTTTCGGGATCCGAGCTGAACACCAGCTGTAATACATGAGCTACGGTTGGATTGGCTACTTGAATTCCCATTGATGCTCAACATTATGGGTTCTTGTTACATGACTGATTTCCTGAGAACTGCCGAATCGATTTGTTCCCTCAAATATGATATTTTGTAGGTAGTATGTGCCACTCCGTTGCTGCTATCAGAATCACTGTTACCTCTTAGGGGGGCGCACACCTGCTTAGCAGTAGGAGTATCTGTTTTGTCACACCCTGTCCATCTCAGAAGTTAGTTTGTCGCATTGTGTGACTAACTGTCGGTGGGTGGAGTTAAACAGGTGCATGTGATCGATACTGCAATTCAATTGAAACGACATTGTTTTTATGTTATTCACCATGTGTGTGTCTGTTTTTCGTTCTTTGTACGGGCCTACGTATTTGCCTCCAGGCTTCCAAGGGATCCGTTTTCATATACTGCAGAGGCTCTGAAACCTGAAACTGTACTTTGCAGAAACAGTTTGTGGTATTCCATGAATTGCACATATACAACTATGATTCCAGATACTTCCGAGTGTGGCCTCCATTGAGTACGAGCGGTATTACCACCTCATTCTTTGATTGAATCCACCCTGTTGGGTGTCGAAACTATACCTAACCCACAGCGGATAGCGACAGTACTGTCCATCATTCATTCTATCAGGGCACCATTTGTCAAGCTTCTCTGGCAGGATCCGTTAAGCATTGTATGTCAATCATTGCTCGGTCAGTTATGATACCAAGACCATCCGTTTCTTCTCATCTCAAGAATAACAGCCCTTATTGCTATTCAATCAACACACTACTTTCCAACTTCATGGGCTTTCAGTGTCACCTAGTCAATATCAACTGTTTCAGACAAAATGACCAAGCTGCAAAGATTTGGTATTTCACTTTCGTTCCCCATCTAGTTATCTACTGTAAACTTTTACCACATTTGTAACCTACTCCGGTAAGTGTGATCCGCTCGCTTGTCCGTTCGGCACGTACCTTCTACGCGTACATGAACAGCAACTTTGTCAGCGTAGGGCGAACGATCATTGCACCTGCACTTTTACCATCTGTGCTGCTTCCCGCCGCAACAGTTTTGTCAAATGTTCCCCTTTCTACTCCCTCTACACTCCTTCAGCCCTATCCCGTTTATCCATGCGTGGCCATCGCTTGTTCCAAATGTCACGTGAGTGCGAACTTCGGTCAGCAGAAATTCTCGTTCGACATTGGGCAGTATATTGCACGTGAACGCGCCGTGGTAATCAGTGCCGCTGTGGATCGAAAGTGTAACGACCAGTTAGCACATGTGACTATGCGGAAGTAAGTTTCTGCACACATTACCGAAACGCTTTTGGATTCAGGGTTGTGTCCCAATGATATCTGTAAGCAAGCGGTTTCCTCTCTATTTTTCTCACATCCACTGAATATAGCACAGTCCCGCTACTGGGACGCAAATTATTTATGTCCTCCAGTTTAGTCACTTTGTAACTCAACATGCGATCAACAAACGAGCGTGATTGGTGTCGCAGAAGGTGTTTCGTTCTGGAAATGCATCTAGTACTACAAGCTGCGGTGTCCCGGTTCTATATGCACGTGTCGAGTTATCGCTTACTGAGAAGGTGGTTATCCCCCACCAGATCCAGAGTAGAACAAACCAAGAGGGGCCGGCGCATGACGCGATAGAGGGACGTGAACGTCGGCAGATACCTTACTCACGTTGTTCGGAGACATTGCTAGAAACAGTGTCAGTTTCAGTCAGCACTGTTTGAACGTTTGGAAGTGTAAGTGGGGACTTATACTGGAAACCTGTATTCCGTTCTGTCATTTTGTTGCTTCATGATGAGTGGATACGATCGTACGGCAGCGAAGTGTCGATTATCTACACTGCTGTTTGTTGCGACGGTTATGATAGTCGGGATATCGTTCGATAGACATTCCTGTTTTTTTCTCAATAATACTTCAACAACGACTTGCCAATTCCTGATCTTTGATGACCACCTTAGTTGAAAACAACCCGCATCCGAATGTGTTTATACCGAAATTCGACCACTTTTCTGTATGCTGCCATCAACCGGCACCGAATGTATGCTAATCTGTGACCTTCACTGCGAAATATACATGGTAGACGCATGACGTAGTCTACGTTTGTGTGAATATGTGTTGGCCATATCTGTCTCCATGGACTGTTTGAATATTTTGAAGGAAATAGGCTATATGTTCAGAGAAGGTCCGTCCTAACCGTGGATAACGCCTGCGTGTGTAACGAAAGGTCTACGCTGAGGCATACAAAAAAAACTAGCGTCGATTGGTTACTTGGAACGACATGACATTCGTACATATAATACCGTAGAATTTTGCCTGCGGATCTTACCAACCGGACACAATGTTCTTAAAAAAAAACACAAAACTGGTATTTACAAAAAACGCGTTTCTCATGTTTTGCTTGGACACCCTTTAATAGGGCAAGTTCGATTTTATTCAAGCCAGGTACTAGTTAAATATGCAACCAATCGCCACTGAGTTACTGCAACATAAACAGGTATTTTTCGGTCAGGCCTGGATAATGGTACCCGAGGCTTCGTAATGTTTATCAGTATTCTCGTGCATGATGCTGCTGTCATTGCTACGTCAAGGTGCAGCGCAATACGAAGGCATTGGCGCTTCGAGTGTGCTAATCCTAACCGCAGTTCCACCTCCGTGCCTAGTGGGCTCGTAAAATCTGCACGGCAGCTGAAGGCTGATACATATGGTACAATGTTGGTCTTATCAGCTTCTTTACGTTTCAGTGTGTCTAATTAGACTTTGACGCAACAGTCCTATAATAATCCCGTGTAAATGGCTCAGTAACTCATGAAATTCTAGTAGAATAAATATGAGCGATAATTTCCTGAGATAGCTCAGAGGTGAAGGTGCTAACTTAATGACCGTAATGTTTGTGGTTCGAGCCCAATCTCTGGGTCTCGACTACTCCTGTCTAGGCTTGGACAACATGGTAGTGTCTCAGTCTGCGTGCTTCCTTCGGATGGTATGGCAGCGAAAGGGTTTCGGAGCTGAAAGATCAATTGATATTTTCATAAAGGAAACTACTCGTAACATTGCTGAGAACTTCGACATCCCACGACCGGTTTCCCACTTCTTGGGGTTCAGTAGGTGCAGTCCCCGAGTTCCGTCAATCTCATGTTCTACTTGAGCAGCATCATAAACGAGATATTCAATAGAGTCTCCCAGGAAAGCCCAGTTGGCACGCGAATGAGTGCATTTGTCAAGATCAATTGATACGTTTTATATTTCGTTTCCAAAGTCAGTGAACTGGGATTGGTGTATTCTGATACGACAGGGTTCACTAATTGATGCTTTCAAGCATGTTGCTAAAGTGCATTGCTGTTATATCTGCTGATTCGCCAATCTGTTTTATCTGGCTTCTGACCCACTCCAGTGCCTGTTGCGGAAAAAATGCTCACAGAAGAGAACCCAACAGCTATATTTCGAACAAGCGAATGAGAGAGCGCGAGTGCGAAAGTACAGCTGTCTCAGGCTATTTATTGGAGGGCACTGTCTGAACTGGGTCCAGTGCTGACGCACGCGGCCTGGCTTTCGTACAAGGCTGCGACGCGCTGCATGTTGCGCGGGCGTTGTCTGACCTCGGTCAACGCTGACTCGCGCTGTCTGGGTAGCACTGCATGTTGTCTGTCTGGTCAACATCTAGCGAAGCTGATAGTCTCAGTAGATTTCGGGCATTCAGTGCTTGCTTTGAGGAATCCGACCTTCCTGATACCTCCCCTTCTTGGCCGTTCAACATAAGATTGTCGACGCGGAAGTTGTGAAGGTTCCACCAGTTTTCTAGCACGACCAGTACTTCGTCTCGGTTGCAGCAATCGATCCGTGTTGGGTGGCACATGCGAGGCAGCGGCTATAGGTGCTGGTCTTGGGAGATCAAAGGTTTCAAGCAGCAGGTTGAGATCCAGTAAGTGTTCTTCCGCCTTTGAGATCGGGCGCACAGTCGTCCGTAATTGATTGACATGTCATTTTCATATCAATAAACCCACCTGGACGCTGTAAATCACCTGGACGATTCTTTTGAGGACGACTCCAACAGTCTATCTTCGGTGCCCTGGGCGATAGTCCCTGACAAGCACACGGTTTCCAGACCGGAATGTTGGCTTCCCTGCTGTTGGTGTTGATGAACATAAGTTATCGATCGGCAGTGTTGGAAGATGCAAGCGATCGATCCAGTCTATGCCCAGGAGACTAAGCTGCTATATCCATCTTACAATCAAATTCACCAACTAGTTGAAGCGGTGGCGAGATGGCTCAAATGGTTGGAGCGCGAATTTACTGACCGAACCCGACCTCTGCCTCTGGACTTCCCCTGTCTAGGTTTGGGCAACCTGGCAGTATCCCAGCCCTCGTGTCTCCTTCGGGTAACATGGCAGCTAGGCACCGGAAGGGTGTTACAGCTGAACGACTAGTTGAAGCTTACCACCTGAAGCATTTCTGGCAGTGATCATTGTCGGTCTGGGTTCCTGTGATCCGATCTTTCTCCAAATGCGCCGGGAAATGATCGCAATATCGGAAGCCGTGTCGAGCTACAATCGAATAGTGCTTCCGTTTGCTCTGATTGTAACATACTTACCATACCACCACCTCTTGGCTTTTTGAATTGTGCGTGAGTTGGTATTCGGGGTGATTTCGGATACAGACTGACGCCTCTGAGGACAGCGTACTCCACAGGAGTCGCCAAACACTCCTTTCTCCTTCAATTTTCTCTCTTGGAGGTTGCCGTAATTGGGTTGCCAACGTTTCGTCGCCAAGCTGGTGGCGTAGTAGTGCGTTGTTGAGTGTAGCGGAATGGTGCGTTGCGTCGGTAACGCACACAACAGCACACTTCGATTGACGTCCGAGTTCAGCGGACAAACGCACGACCAGCCACTACCCCTACCAGTGACCCCTTCGCTAACGAATGTCTTCTTCATGAAGGTAAACATTCAGTCACCAGGTGTCCTTCCGTAAAACCTAACAGATCTGAGGTCATAGAGTTTTTGCCTTATTCGGAATATCCTATATTTGGGAGGCAACCAAGAGTTCGGACAGTCGTTTGTGCTGGTTAGAATTAATAGGTATCAACATCGAAGAGCTTCATCTTTTGTTAAATACGGCCACCTCTGCATCGTCGGGTTTTGTGTGTATCCAAGAAACGGGGCATTTGGGCATAGGAAAATTGATCAACCTAGCCTCAACTATGGACGTATTTTCGCTACAGGACTGACGTGGTAGACGTTATCACCGTTCGGTTCGACACCACTTGATTCTCAACGAAAGGTGAGTCTGGGAAACTAGACAGTTCTCTTGTCTACCGACCGTTCCCAGTTCAGAAAACGTAGCCGTCGCGATCATTCGACTGTTTTTTTTCCGCTCACCGGCGTCGTTACTTTTTCGTTCAGGATGTTGCAAGGAATCACGAATATCACATGGATCTCTGTTGATATGCCGTCTGTACGGAATCCGACTTGGGTTTAGGTCACAAGCGCACACGTACCAGGGCGACAACAGCAGCTTCAGGTCACGTGACCATACATACACAGTCTGTTCATCCCACAATTTCGGCTGTTCCGGCAACCAGTTTCAAGGTTTTCGTGTGTATTTAATTCACGTGCACAAGGCAACTGGAATTCGCCGTTGCGACCTCCACCACTGCTCTGTCATCTGATTCTTCACAGGTGACGGGGAAAGTGAACGTCTGGTCTGTATTCACAGGGGACCTTGTTTGATTGTTGTTGATGCAACTTCCCAGACATCATCTCATCTTTTGTTGTTGACTGTGCGCAGTCTATTTTAGAAGCAATCGTTTTACCACCTAATTCATCTGATTGAACGAATGGAGTATTTTCAGTGGACATTCGTTTCATTCGACCTGGATAACTTTGATCAGACCGTTCATTGTACGGGAATGTCTTGAAATGGCAGCACTATCGCATGCTTCATGAGGATGTTCCTTGTGTTTTTAACTCGAAAGATTCATGGGTGACTTTAGTACTTTCGCAGTAGCCGCTTCACATGCGTCTGGTGTTATATACATCCTCTTGAACTGCATATTTTTACTGTACACTTTTTATAGTTTGAATTGCTGCGCATTACTAGGTTTTACAACAACATCACAGGCGTTTCCATCTATAGAACAGGCTAGTGCGTGAATTACGATGCGTTTCATGCGTAGAAAGTGATGTAATTCACGAACCTGTAGCCTAATACTGTTTATGGTGCACAGAGAGACCGGCAGAATACACCGGTCTGGCTTCCTACATCACTTGCATCGCGATGCCTTTGATACTCACTCTTTCATGCTTTCAAATAACGTGAACGCATTGTCGTAATCCATCATCTCCCCAAAGTCGGTCAGGACTCTGCAGCTTTACGATGATTGTTATTTGCGTGGCAGTTTTCCATTCAGCTGGCGACGTCGTTATCAGAAGCTGTGATGGTTGGGCCATGTATCGTGCATACCAAACCACCGTTTGCCGAAGAATGTAATGTTTTCCGTGCCCAGTTCAAAGTGGCGGAAGCAGAAAGGTGGCCAACTTCTGAGCTAACACAGGGGTATGAAGGAGGTTAGGAAAAGCCTGGGTGTTGTCGGTGCTACTCACCTTCCAGGATGGGGATCGCCTTAGTCCTACTGCGCCTGGTTGGATACTGCAAGATATAGCCGCTACTGGATGTCAGTGGCTTTCTTGTCAGTTTCTCTCTAGACTGCCTAAATGAGTGTCTGGAGGTGTAGGCATCTAAGAATGACTTAAGTAAGCTAGCACTAAGTACCCTGTCCACTTCTATTGCTTTCTTCACAAACGTAAGTGATGGTTATACGGTATTGGACATTGATGGTATGCTGTCGATGATGATGGTGGAGTCGTTTTCTGACTCATACGATAACATCTCGCAGAGAAAATCTATCATTTTTCAGTTGTACCATGCCACCTCCAGCGTTTTCATGGTTGTGAAAGCTTTTAGAACTGCGTGTACTCAGTAAAATTGGTATGTGGAAAGTCCTCTTGTTTGTATGTGAAGTACATTTCTGAGTTTAATTAAAGTTCGAATAATATGCTCGCTGCATAGCGCAGAAATGTTCCTAATTTTAGGCAATTGCAAACTTGCGTGAAATTTAGGAAAATTCTTTGCAAACGAACTTGCTGTGCTTAATTTTGATGGTTTGTAAACTTTGTGACCCATCCTTGTGCAACATCTTGCTTCTTTCACCATATGTGGCTACAATCGTGTACATATGCTTGTCTCTTCTGTCAGATTGGTCGCTGCATACCTACTGCATAATGGTTATTTAGATTCAGCTAGTGCTTTGGGTGGATGGGTTTCGCAAACAACAATTCCTGAGCCTCCACGAAGACCGAGCGATTTGTTCCTAACCAACGGGGATCGTAAATCCACACCCGTAACAGGAAAGCCAACTGAACAAAAGCCAGCGGACGTTTCTCCGTTGTCTCCGGCGTCATCTATTCAAACGCCCGCCCTTGAATCCTCCCGCTCTCTTTCATCACCAGTTACGACCCCATTCCAGTTTAATTGCAGCACACCGAATACAAAGGAAGAAGATTTACTACAGTGGCCAGAACCAACGGAACTGTTGTTACGACGGCGTCATTTGCGTGATACCATACGTCGTGGTGACTATCTCTCCGCACTAGAACAATTGGAAACACATTTCAAGGCGCTTATGGAACAGGATCCTTCAATCGGTTTCGTTTTACGATGTCATCATTTTATAAATCTTGTGAGTTCTAAGGTTTATTCTCTTAATGTTTTGCTGATGGGTTGTGATTCCAGATTTGAACATATTGTCGAATAATGATGCTGCGATTGTCCTTTAGCACATATGAACTTTTGGATTATTCCGGGCGAGTGAAGATACCCGTGGAATTCATGAAGGTTTAGGGTACCTACATCTATTCTTATCATGACTTTCAAGATCCTAATGGTGTTCTAGCTGAGCCTGAGTTAACATTCACATCAATCCCGTTCTTCTTCTAGTTAGTCCCTACGAAAGCTAAAAGCATTGGACTTGAGTTTGGCTCCCGTTAGAGTTTGTCAGTGGTCCGTCTAAGCATATGGTGTGAGCGCATTAGCACACACTGTCTACTAGTGCACTTTGGCGCACCGTCACTCATGAGCGGACAAACATATTGACCTCTGACCAGTGTAACTGGTCTACTTGCTGCTTCATACTACGATGTGTTGTGGTCCTGTTGGTCGACGGACCCGTCAATCAGAACGTTCGGTCCAAATAGCGCCTCGGCGCTTGGACCCTGTCGAACAATTTTCAGTTCCCTGTTGGTCGTAGCAGGATGTGTTAGGTTCGAAATAAAGCATTGAGTTTGATTCCTCTCATCGCTTATGATTCTGGGTCCCGTCACACAGTAACCGTCAATTCATTTTGCCAGGATTTTGCAAAACGTATCTACTTTATCCCCCTGGAACCTGCACAACGAGTCTGTTATGCGCGCTCTATTCATGACGTCGAGCTGATTTCGAGGTTTTGATTTACCATATTGGTAAATGAAACAGTTTTATTTCCTGAGATTGACAAGACAGTTTCATCGAGTTCTGTGTGTGTATACGCGTGCCATACTCATTCAACTAGTTACAGTGTTCCTTAAACAGAGATAGTCGCTGTGGATAGTTCACAAGGCTATAAGATGAACTGCTTTCTCGAGGAGGAACCGCTTTATGGTAAAGGCTCGAGACAGCTCATTGGCTAAGACGCAAAATTACTGCCCGGAAGATTCGTGGTTCGAACACAACCCCGGCATCTCAACGTCTCCCCTGTCTAGGATTTGGCAACTTCAGCCTAGGTGATTCCATCCAGTGGCATGACAGCTAGGCATCGAAAAGTTGTTGCAGCTAAGCGCTTATTTATGTTTATTATTATACATTAGAGGCTTGGTGGATACCGTGGGTATTGTACAAGTGACCTTCTTGAGCAGGTTTCCCTGAAGAGAAGTCCCTGCAACCTCTCACTCGTGCTAGAATACTTCACATCTCGTCAGTTGACGGTCGCAGAACTGTCTTGCTTTAAAAAAATTCTAATTACGCGTTGTGAAAATAAACTACTTTCATCCAGGCCGCACCAACGTTTCAGTTGCTTGAGATCGTTTTTTCGCTTGTTTCAAGATTGTCAAAGTTGTTTCACGTAATCAAGGTCGTTCAACTGGATAGACTCATTTAGGTATCATTTACACGGCACAAATCACATGCGTGATGTGCAAAGCTCGATGCATGTGTGATAGATCAGCTGGGCCCTAACACTTTGGTGACCTGGCGGTGTCCGTGTACTTTGTTTTTTTCAATCACATCAAACGGAGTGGTGTTGCATAGGGGCTCATAATAGCTCTTCTTACAGCCTTCTTACCAGTTCGGGAAATCAACAAGTAAGAGGCCAAACTTCATGCGAACCTGCGAGACAGAAAATGAATATTTAACAGCAATGTTTTCGACGTGAAATTAGATGTGAAACGACTGTGAGGTCATAAAACTGCTAGTCTCTAACCCGCAAATGATTTCCACCGAACCATTCTGCGGTATGTACGCCATTCAGAACCGCCTGTTTTTCGATCCTGCAGTCCTGCACAGCACTGCCCTGTGGGGTACATTGTCCAGTAACCGCTAAGTTAATGTGAACGAGCTGTTCACCCTTATGAGAAATTGCGGTTAGAGGATGACCGAATCATCCACGGGAATAAACCCGATTCACAGTGAACCTTATTTCGACCTTGGGGCGAGACGGCCCAAGCGGTAAGAACGCGAATTTACTGACCGGAAGGTCCGTGGTTCGAATCCCACTTCCGCCTCTCGACTTCCCCTGCCTAGGCTTGGCCAACCTGGCAGTATCCCAGCCCTCGTGCTTCCTTCGGGTGGCATGGCCGCTAGGTACCGGAAGAGTACTACAGCTGAACGGTTTTTATTTTGACCTTGCCATAGGGTAGCCTTTCTTCGGATAGTCACACTAATTAATGTCTGACAGAGAACGCTGTTGTGGGAATGACTTCTCTTCACAGGTGTGCCTCTAGGATGTACTAGATTAACCCAGCTCAGTTTTATTGGATTAGATAAAAGTTATTTGTCTAGTTGATGGTTACGTCTTTGAAACAAACAGTTAAATTTCAGAGCCTAACGAATCGGCAATAGGGGTTCTGCATGTGACCAGCTTTCTGGTAAAAGCTCTCCCACATGTGTTCCCACTAATGATTATGCTTTCTGACCTTGAAGTCACTTGACGGTTTTTTGTCCGACACTTTACCCCAGCACTGCTTTATTCTTTGTGATTGCACTTTGATTCATTCTGAATTATAGGCCAATATATATTTCTTCATCATATCTTCTCAGCAGGGCCTAAAATGATTAAACACTGTCAAGAAAGTAAGGATACCTGTATCTCACCTTGTAATGGGGATTGAATTGAAACACCAGATAGATCTACGTTGGTTTGCACCAGATGTCAGAATGTGATTAGTGAGGCACCATGGGGTGTGAACTTTTAGCATTATATAGAATTTAATTCATCTTTACGAATTCGCTGTACCATTTGCCCGGGTTGTCTCATCTGGTAGTCATTATGTCTCTTGCTACATTTAGGTTTGGATCGAAACAACTTGGCATAAGTCTGCCGGATTAATACAGCTGACTATAAATCTAACTTTGTAAAAAGGAAGAGGGACACTGAAACGTGCTCGAAATGGGTGCAGGTGTTTTCAGTGTGTTGGGAAGTTCCCTCTGGTAGCATTCTGGTGCGCGTTCGCTTCACCCCACGACCTTGAAGAACGATTTATCACTGCTTGATGTTGGGTTACATTCTAGGAGACTTCATGATGGTCTCCTGATCGGGACGATTTTTGCATCCTTGCTTTACAGATTGGTCTCAATAGTTATCGGATATTCTTTCTTTACGGGACACCATTTACATTCGGTTGCAAATGTGGAAGTTTCTTCATGAAGTTTTCCTGGGTTTATCTCTTGCGTGAGCTCGGGTCACCTCTGTGAGTTGACTGAGGTTGTAAGTTCTGCTGGAAGCCATGCCTAGTTGGTACTAATGTGTGGTCTAGGCCCTTTTCTCTCTGTACTTTTAGTAATATCACTGGGGCCTGCGATTGGCTTGTCCGCATATTTTCCCTCCAACTATCCGTGAAGTTCACCTATCCATCCACAATCTGAGCACGTGCTGAGTAGCCTTAAAAGATTTTGGGAATGAGACTGAATTTTGTAACCTTATTCTTGGGACTCACAATAATGTCTTCGTTAGCTGCGCGATTGCTACTTTATTTTTGTCCCAAGTAAAGGTTATGTTCGGCGAAAATACCATTTGGATACGTGGGACTTTTTCTCTCTCCCAAATGCGTTTGATCCGAAGCTATACCTAATTTCTTGCCAATCCTTTTGCACTTCCAACCATCTTACAGTGGTTTGATTCTGTGTTGCTACTCCGTACTAAGTTATTTAATTAAGGGCTGCTCGCCGATATGACACCACTCATGGCAAAGTGGTACTCAGGTTTCTTGTTCATCAGCCCAGTTTGCTTTGTCTTGACTAACGTCTATCCCCGAAGTATGTCTCTATACTGTAAACAACGGTTGTTTGGTCACATACAGGCGTTTTCTGATCTGCATCAGTGAGGTGGTCTGTTACGAAGCTCCGTACAGTCCGTTCAGGTCGCATTTGTGGGTGCTGGCTTCATTAGCTGACTTGGTTTGGTCTCACGTCTTTTTTCAATACAGTCTCACTGAAAAAAACTACTGCTACTTTTTTTACGGGAAATGATCTCTGTGGATCCGGTTAGCGAATTCTCGCCTATGTTTCTGTCTTCGGTTTTGCCATTGTTTATTAGCAGATGCATAGGGACGCAGTTTTATCCAGCCAGGTCGGGCGTGTAGATAGTAACGGTCTATCGTTTCCCATCAGGTGTAATTGAAAATCTTTGTCCTACGTGTGTACGTACGATGGCGGTAGCTTACGCTTTTGTTAGCTGGATATGCCTCCGAGTTGAAAGCATGTGACATGCTTTCATCTTGGGTTCTTTTAAGCATGCGAGCTACGCATGCACATATGATTTCAGGCTTTAATGTACTGGAAGTTACTAGTACGTACGTGTTTGTATTTATCATCTCTAGTGGAATCCGTTTCTTTCCACCATACAGATGTGTAACCAAGCCGACTCCTCATGTGCCTCAGGAAAGAATCCTGACTCTGCTTCGGTTCCCACCCAACAGTCTTACTCCCCAGTCCACCGACATAACTCTCAACCAGCCTTGAACATCACAGATGCTTCTTCACGCATCGGTGCTCAGAAGCGCCCAAAGCCCTCCAGTTCGTTGGAGTCTTCACCCGAGCCAATAGTAAATGGATTCAACGGCTGTGAACAGCAACCATCCCGACAATCGCGCCTGTTACCAACGCCGCGAGTTGTTCAATCTCAACATCATCAGCATGAGCATAGTCCTTCGAGTTGCCAGGCCCCTATCCGTCTGCGGCTAGACGCGCCAGCACATTTGGAACGCCGTGCTTCACTCAATGACACCACACCACTTCCCGTCTATCCTCTTCACCATCAGTGCTACCCCGACGAACCGCTTCGTAATTGCTCTGTGACAACTCCGCCTACAACCGTTGATCGACGGAGGCACTCTACGCATGTGAGTTCCTCTTCTCCCCAGCCAGACCAGATACTTTGTGCTGGAAGCAACCCATGAAACAACCGGTTTTAACTAAAATGGTAACGAATTTGGACATGTAAGCCTGTATTCGTGAACTGGCACTGACAGCTAGTCATTAGAAGTGTATTTTCAACTACTGGAATGTAGCAAGTTATAGTGGAACTCCCTTTTGGTCGGTCCTGTGGGTGATCCTTTGGAAGAGCGGTGACTGTACGTAATTCATAGTCTTTGGCTTGTGGACAGATCTTGGCATAAGAGTCCTATTGCGTAAATTCTCCAGCTTCGAGATGTTAAGCTCGTTATGTTACTTAAGCGTTATGTCAGCTAGTTCACTACATATATTCGAACTGTTCTGTATGCGCGTGCACCAAATCGCATCGACTGGAATTGTACAGGAATGCGCACATTCCCGGGAGTCGCCTCCGTGCTGCGTATAGGCTTTGTTATGATCTTATTGGAATGAAGTCTCAATCGATACATGCTTCCTACATACTGGACTACGCGCTCATGGTCATGATTTCAACCGTTTAATAGCGGTGATGCGAACTGTTTTGAACCTACAATGCCTCATGATCAGCACACATTAGAAAACAAACGCCTAACCGCCAGACTCTGGACATGTGTTCAGAGTCTTGTTGTTCATCTAGGCTAATATTTGAGGAAAGAGTATATTTGTTAGCTAAGCAATGGAATAATCACAGCAGATTTGTGGTTCGTTGAATTCATCTGAAGCTTCTATATCTTGGTAGGTAGTGTTTGCTGCTGCATAATGTAGCACAGCACCGCGTTACGGCTTCCGAATAATACAACCTGTTTGCAGGTGATGAGGTCTGATTAGGATGGAACGTCAACAACCAACGTCACACTTAGCGAAACAATCTGTCTGTTGTCAACACGTTTCTGTTTGGTCTTAAAGCAAATTATTTCTCCATTGGATTGAGGCAGATTGTATACACTCGTTTTTTTTCTTTTCACGTACTGCGTATTCGCCTGTACTTCACTGATGAGAACGTGCTAGTTTTGACTATTATCCTGCTCAATGTGTAGACTTGTCCCACTCCCGCTTTGAAGAAATCCAAACCGGTGGTGTGCATTCTTTTCGGATATCATGTTGGTGTTGATATGCGTCCAAGGAGACCGTTTACACGCCAATCTATTGTAGGTCATCTGATATGTTTTCCGACAATATTTTGTATATTAACTGTGTTGTTTTTGACACCCCCTACTTTTACTGCTTTAGGTTATAAACCGAGTAGTCCCGGGTTCTCATCGGATTTCAGAGGGCCACAAACATACCACAAGAGTGCTCGGAGGTGTGTGCCTTCCCGTCTGTGGGCCACCTGAGTTGGAACGTGGCCTTGACAGTATCGGCGCTGCTGTCGGTCTGCTAGACTTGACCGGCACCGAACAACGGCTCGGCAACGGCCGTCCAAAGTGTATCAATATCATACGCCGTGGAAAATCTCGTGACAGCTCTGTTGTGTCACCATCAGCCGACCCACCAGCTCCCACCAATGAATCCGAAAATGGGACTCGTCACCCCGTAGGCAATTCTTACCACTGCTCTCGCGAGCCGTCAATGAGTAATGGGACAAACATTCGAGTTTCCACCTTTACTAATGGCGCTGTTTCGACACCCAGTCCGACGGAACCCTCACCTGCATTTTCTCACTCAGCTACCCCTAACAAATCACAGGAACTCAATTCTGAAATCGAGGACCAAAAGGACAAGCCAGACAGTAACAAAACCAACGGTTCTTCGAACGACAATTCTTCCTGCCTCGTTCTTTCTTCCTGCTGGTCAACAAAAGATGTGATTTATCTGGTCGAATACGGCCGAATGTTGCGTGCCACTGCTTTGGAGCTGCAATGTCGTAATGCAATTACAGACAGTCAGCTGCAGCTACTAAGCGTGAGTCTCCTTTCCGATGTTGTATCAAGTGATTGCCAAGTCGAATTCATCCTATCGCGTACCCCTTAATGTGCTGGTGTCATTGCTTCAATGAGATTTTCTTTCGCTCCACTATTCAACCGACCTTGTTCGAAAGCTTTTTCACCCACAAAGCCTCTTCCTACCTTGCAATCATTTTTACCGGTTACACCGGACTTCGAAAATTCAGTCTGCGTATTTCATCACTTGGCGCAACTGTTAGTTTGCCGACATGTCCACACCTGTGGTCTGTTTCTCGAACTGTTTATGGCCGTACGTAGTTTTTCGTTCATTGTACTAATTTTGCAGCATAAGTAGTGGTTTAAATTCAGTTACATCTCTGTGTAAATCAATACCACAGAGTGAATTCAAGCCAGTTGTACCGAGGTGTTTTAAATGGGCTCATCCGGAGGCATCATTAATTTCTCGCTGCTGGTTGACTGCCATTCAACACCATCACGTACTATGGTTTACCGTGTTTAGCTGTCTCAGTTGTTTCAGTGAGTGGTGTGGCGTATTTTCATTAGTGCAGTTTTACTTTTTGCGACACCTTTTACCCATCCATATCATTAATAAATTCATTCACATTGTGTCGACTCGTTCCAACCGGTACTTTCAAAAGAAGGCGCTCCCACGTAGTGTTAATGTCGGCATGTTGAATTCCAGCACTGCGGGAGATTGAACAGTATACGGGTTGCACTTCACATTCCTTCTCTTATGAATGACGTTAACTTTCTTGACACAGTACAGTACTCATAAGGTTGTGGAAGGCTCTTCGGCAGCCGGTTTGACTCTTCATGAGCTTACCAGGCCAGCATTCTCTGAGTTTCCGTCACTCATATGTCCTAACTAACCCCAAAATAGTACACAATTGGCAAAATGCGCTCATTTGCAAACCAAATAGACAGTGATGGGAGACTCACCTGAATCGCTTGAATCCCTCGTCTGTGTCCCACATTCAGTGGGACTATATCACAAACGGAAGATGCAGTTGAGGTTCTCGTCAACACCAATGTAATTTACTAATGCGCCTATTTCAGCGGTGGCACATTAAGTTGATTTTGGAATTAGGTTAGTCCTTAGGGAGTATATTCACTGGTTACACTATAAAAGTAGAGGTTTTTCAATGTTCCGAAAACACGCTTTTCCCTTTGAACGTAGGCAGCAATTTGATCTAACTTAAAGTATGACAAGCATACTTTCAGCTTATAGCTGGAGTAGGCTACTGTGTGCTTTTCGATGGACAGCCGCACCATCATGTGATACCCTATTCTCATATACTACAGCCTGTCATCCAGCCCATCGATTTACACGCATCTTATAGGTTATGGATGTGATTTCTGGCCAAAAAGATGACACTTCTTGGCCCAGTGTCCCATGTTTTACTCATCGCGCTTGCTACATTGGAAGGGCGCAGTTGCTGATTTGCTGGCTGGATTTCATATGGTCCGCTCGGAACCGTGAAAGGTTCCAATCTTATCAGACCTGTGTGCACTGTAGGAAATGGTTAATTTCGTTCTGATGTGTCTGATGCTGTAGAACTTAAGAGTATTTCCTCAAAGCGCCGGTTCTGTGGTCCTTTCTATTTTTGAGACAACGAATTCTTTGTGGCTTTATATGTGTGCAGTTGCAGAAACGTCTGAGATAAATAGCTTTCTGAAGGTCTAACATCTTGTTCAACTTTTTCTTGGAGTTTTACTTAACTGCAAGCCTTGGTCACCCAGTTCTCATTCCGTTTACTACTTGCTTTCCATCCGTCGTCCAGGGTGCATTCGGACTGATCGCCTATCAGGACCCCTATACAAGTCCATTCAGGAAGTTTTTGGGTCCAATTCACCGAGAGCGTTTGGCAGATGCTGTCAATAGTGCAATAATGTGTAAGACCATGTTTTCTCGTTTGTTTTCTCACTATCGTCTATCAGTTCCGTAATGCTGCCAATCAGATTGTATGGAATTTCTCTTTCTTATATTGTGAATGAAGGCGGTCAACCGTTCACATGGAAATAGTTTGAACAACTTAATTGATTTCAAAATATCAACTTTTTCGCAGACCTGATGGAGTAGAGCACATGAAACAACGGCTAACACACGGCCGACGGATGGACGAGAGTGGGTTATCTTTCCTTGTGGATTTGACCTGTCGTACGCCAAGTTACCTCTGTATTCCGGTTGCACATATCTGGAAAGACCATTCCCAGGAAAGCCATTTGGTCGCTTTATTCAGTTTATCTACCCGGAGAGCACAGAACACTTCATCCAACATTTCCAATTTCTTTCAATTCTTTGCAGAATACCAGCTTTTCACAAGTATACCTGTTGGTGTTTGGATGCGTAGTATAAAAGGCAATGCTAATACTTCACGTTCGAAAACAAATGTTGAGCAGCTTCAAGTTGCAAAGTATTCTAGTGTGCAGTGTTGTGCATTATTGGAGTACTTCACCTACCGAATTTAGCAACTCAGATGAGGTTTTATTGACTTATTTATTTGGAACTGCGCTAGAAACACTGCTTACAATGATCGTATAAGTTCGCCTGGAAGCCACAAACGAGAGATTCAACTGGGTTCCAGGTGGGTCTCTCGCAAAGCTTAATTAGTTTGCAAATGAGTGTATTTCGCTAATCACCATGAGCCTGTTTTTCTTCTGTTCTCTACAGTCCACCTCAACCAACCAGCCTGTCCCGTTCTTGATACAGCCCTTGCATTTCTGGAAACTTCTCTAATGGGTAGTGATGGTGGGGCATCTGGCCAAACCGGTGATTCAGGCATTGGCGTCAGTGGAAGCGAAGGGACTAGAACCAGTCTACAGCCTGTTGACCGTCTTTCATCTCCCCGCCATCCTCAGCGGACCCCGATAGGAAATAATTCGTTTCCAGCTAGGCGCAGTTCTGATCCTTCAGACGTTTTGAATCAGCAACGAACCTCAACCGTTGCATACACTGCCAACTTCCGGCGCACTTCACCAGTGCGGACATTAGTTATTTCACGTACAACCCGTCAGAATCCATCTTCGGCTGATTCGCAGTCTCTTGGGACGGCGGATACTGCGGAGGATCCATCTGTCAGGATCACCCGATTGACTGGTGATACCCACAGTTCCGTTATCTCAACTTCCATCTATATACCACCTTCTGCCCTAGTTTCACTTGGATCCCGCAGTCAACCCCAGTTGAATAACCGTGCATCAGCCATCACAACATCCCCAAGTACGACCTCTTCTGGGTTACTTCGACCTACTAGCCTAACCGGTTCCGCGAATCCTCACTCGCGTGGACCACCCTCATCTCTGTTCCCATCTACCACCGCTTCGCCCCAATCAGCATCCCTGATCACTACAACCAGCAACACACATGCAACATGGTCTAGCACTCGTACGCAGTCCAGACATACTGCGTCTTCGGCAGCTTCCCGTTCAACAGTCGCTGTTTCTTGTGTGCTTGAGGCGCAAGCGCCCACTGGATCGGAATTAGCTGGATTTTTCCATCCACTCTTGTTTATCGACTGATAACAAAACTACTGCTGCCCGTCAGGATAACCGCGTGAAAAATAAGTGAAATAATTAGTGATGCTATTTTCACGGCTATCACTGTTTCATACTGTTTACCTTCCAGTTACACCTGTTTTCATTCTCTTCCCAGTATCTTCGTTCCATTGACAAGCACTATATGGTTACTATTGTCTGCGTCGTTGAGCCCCATCCTGTTAAAACCACTCGGGTCTTTCGTTCCTTCAAGCGTTTGGCTGTCTCCCGATAGATTGACCGAAGATCTTAACGACATGTACAGCAGTAGATTGAACCATTTACAGGGAGTCCATGCGCCATCTTCAGACTAGTCATCCAGTGTTGCAAAATCGCTGAGTAGATGAGTGGCTGGTTGCCAGTCTTTCGATTCTAGCGGGATTCGTCCGTGCATTCGGACAACTTTCTAATTCAGATTCACACGGACCGATCTCCTGTCGTGCTTTGGTTCTTACTCATTCACTGTGATCTTGCAATTCATTCACAACTGCCCCTTCTCTGTCAACTGGAGTTTGCTACTCACACTCACTGACGTCTATTCTTATATTTTTGTGCTCTCTGTTCAACGGGTATTGGTCTACCAGAAGTCGACCTTGTTCGTTAGATTTTAAACATTTCACCCCACAACGTCCTACAAATGTTTTTATCTTTCGCTGATTTCTCTGCACGTGACGACGGTCTGTTGGAACGGATTCTTTCCGTAGCTGCTCCCGTGCGACCTGTTTTTGAGTATGGTGACGCAGAGGAAACACGTGCGATCACAAACACAGTCAAATACAAATAAGTAACAAAAACAAACAATTGATTTCGCAGAATATTCTGATTAGACTATTTCTGATCTAACCTCTGATCCCGTACCGAACCCTTTGACTTGCTTTTGTTCGAAACGCTGCTTGTGTTTCGTTTTGCTGTTTTCGCGTCAGCTGCCCACCTATTTTCGGCTGGTATGCAACATCGCATGTGGCCACCGATTTGCCTACGAGCATTTGCGACAATATGTCTATCCACACTCGCCACTCGAACGGATAGTTGAGAGCAATACTGCCGTAACGCAGGAAAATTATCCGTAGACGTGACCTTACGCGCCGAGCCGGGATAGGGGGTGTTTCATATTATGTGTTATTGGTATAATGTCAACTGGAGATAATTATCCTCGAAATTCTGCGGCGTCGAATTAGTGTATAGTTTTCGATCAGCTCAATGTGGACGCTGGAAACCATGCGTATATTTCAAGTCCCCTCTTTTATTTCCATTGGTTCCTGGTCGGAAGTACGAAACAACAGTAATTCGGAGGGTTAGTAATGGCTTCAGCGTTTATGGGGGGATGGACGGTTAAGGTCGAGAGGATAAAGTGACGATGCTCAGTCGGTCAACTTATCTCGAATCTTTGACTTGGGAACGTGAACTTCTAGGCATTACGATTATATCTTCAGTGCGATGCTCTCAAAATTCTGCCGATCGCTGCGAACAACCGGAAGACATTTTAGTCAGGTTATCGGTGACATATTTGTCTCAGTTTAGGCCCGAACGCTGTTCGCTACAAATCTGCTCCAGAAGTGACGTTAACAAAGTTAAATTATCCCAGCTGTGTTTTGCTTATGCGCTCCCGTACTGTTCGTGAAGAATCGTTTGCATCAGTTACATGCACGTATCTAGTCTGAACCGCGAATAACTCTAGCACCGAAAAGGTGTCCACGATTCGATCGATGCTACGATTGGCGTCATAACAGACGATGCTCTGTGGGACCGAACGGTTGCTAGGATACACCGATAACCTGCCAGCTTTGTAGCCACTGGACTGTTCAAACGAAAATCGTTCTTATGGCACTGCTTCCAGACTTGCACAGCCTATTATTGGTGCGAGCCTGAAGCGGACGGGAGGTTCAGGTCGTCCAGCTGCATTGCTGACCGTTGATGGACACCGAATTGAATATCTTGATTTTCTGTGTACATAGATGCCTGCCTGAGGAACACTGTTGGTTCTATTTGCTGAAAATGTGCATGTGGAATTGTTTCGGGACGGATCAGCTTTGTGAATGTTTTTGATCAGATTAAAAGGCTCATAAACCTCTGCGGGCACCAGGAACGAGGAGAAGATTGTGAGTTAGCTGTAAGGAATGGATGCGATCCGAGTATTGTTCTTTGCGGTGCCTCAGGTTATGTCAGATCGATGCCACCGTGTACGATGATAGTTTCGGTCAGAGATATGGACTCGCACCATAGTTTAGTGCAGTGCATGAATCACAATAAATTTGTGGTCTATTCGGTGACACTGCGTGCGATTCGTTGGGCACGACAGGTTGCGTGGAAAAGGACATCACGTGACATCCGTCAGTTTGGCCATTTCAGGACGCGTACAAGTTTGTCATATGGTCAGCACACGATGATCGGTAGAATTTAGATTCCTGCTGACGATACACATTTTGGATCCTCACTTGGTCTAGTGCGTCATTGGAAAAGTCACCGGCTGTTAACAGAGTTTGGATGGGA